TACTATAAGCATACTACTAGTACTTGAAATGATAGCAATGCACACATTACTCAATCGTGTAATTTACAACAAAGTTTAGAACTAAGGTCCTTGGCCATTTCAGGAAACTGTATAAGATAATAAAACCTTTAAATTAATAAAACAAACTTACCTCAGAAGAGATGTAAAGGCTGGTCAAAATACTTTATGAAGAATACTACTAAGTTGTGAATACTCGAGCAAGTGAAGTGCGTCCGCTCTACTCAATTGCTACACCCAAACTGACCACTTAATAGCACGGGATTTAAAACCCGCCAAGTAAATTCTACTGAACAGATAAAATATTATGGAACACAGTTAGGGCATTTAAATAAGTTATTTACATAGCGAAAAGGTGTATGTTAAAATATATGGAACAATGTTTGGACGTTAATTGTGACAAATGACATGTTATAAACTATAATTATTCCATTTTTATCACAACAGATGTGAACATACACAGTTGTCCTTTTTAAATAAATAAAATGAGAATAGAAAAAAAAAATAAAATTCAACATGTTCAACATAATTTGAATTCCTGTCAAGTTATTATGTGATATTGAATGCATAACACGTACATATATGGACTAAACACTTGGACATAAAATCCTTTAGTAGATTTTTCTTGATTACATAAAAAAAAGTAGTGAATATGTATTCTGCATTCCTGAATTAACAAACTAGTGTGTACTTCAGGGATTAATATGACGAAATATATATCTGCACTGTAACCGACGTTTTGTCAAACACTAGATCTAATGATCTTCGACGCAAAAATAGGAAGGGGTAGGGTGAAGGATGTATTAAAAAATTGCCGAAAAATCAACATTTGAGTACGCTGTACATATGAGAATTCTGATATATGTAAGCAAAAGCAAAATTCCAATTTAGATTTTTAAACATGCGTATTAGTATATTCATAGCGTAATTATCGACCAAAGTCTGAAAGATGCGCGGGAACGTCATTAAGGGAAAAGGGGGGGGGGGGTAATTTTCCGATATTAAATCAAATCTGATCGTACAAAAATTATGCCCCAAAAAAATATGAAAATTGTTTTTACTACCAGCTGCTACCTAAAGAAAGTTTGTTACCAAAATTAAAAGACAGGCTTTTTCACAAATAATTTCTGAAATTGAAAATTACAGATTTTTCAAGGTTAAGTTAATTCATAGTATTTCAGTTTAAGTTCTTTGAAAATTTTATTCATGACATGCATATCAAAAAGATTACAACGAGATATTTTTGTGTTAAATGGTTAAAAGAATAAGTCAATGAAAGTTGACAGTTATAGCCAACCTGGCTTTTTTGAAAATCAAGGTTTAAGTAGTTAGTTTATTGATAAAGAATTTTCACTCCTCGTATTTAACTAAAGGGGGTTAACTTTTGGAATTTCCTTTCCAAAAACAACTCTAACAATTTCGTCCAAACTGTGCATACACACAGTAGATATAGTAATGTATTAAATATACAAAAATAGCGAAAATTAAACGACGGGACCTTTTGGGGGGTGTACAATATATCATTGTGTATCATTCCATTTTTTTAAAAAGGCCCCAAGGAAGTATAGTGCTCGCACTAATACAGTCACCCTCTTAAAATAAGGTATTATTATTAATAATATTATTCAACGTTGACTGCAAGGCTGTGTATCATTTGTGATGATGAACACATTGAAATGCATTCTTTCACAATAAGGAAGTGTTTTGTGGGTCGTGAACTTCCCTGATTTCTATATTGATTTAATTACAGGGAAATATATACATATAACGACAAGTGTTCAAGCCCTAACTTTCCTCATACATTATAATTTAGTAGCTGAGCAAACATTGACCTTTGAAACATCTAAGTAATGGTCAGTGATGAGTGAACATTCCGTTCAGATTGTCGCACACTCCGTTTGCTTCTTCTTATGATAAAAAACGTAAAAAGTTATCAACAATTTAATGTGAAAATTATATCCTTACAATTTCTCTGTAGAACAACAGTAAGTATTTCACTAACCAGGTAATATTAAATTCTATTTGATGACAAGAGCATTGTATCCACTCAATTAAACAAATTACAAACAATGATAATGTGACCACCTGCTTTGTCATCTGGGACCAGTACATACAGATTGGATAATCTATTTAATTCTTTTTCACTTATGAAATATTTAACTCAGAAAAGGTAAATTTCTTCTACTGTACAGATCTATTTCCCTAAAATTTAACTCATGTAGTGATGAGTTATTAGTCAGCATTAATATATTATAAGTATACGCGACTTAACGAAATTCTAAGTCAGGGATCAAACAAAGATCAATGCTTGGAATTATGTGTTAAACCAGGTGTTGAGTTTGAAGGTAAGGACATGTTAACATCAATTGTATTTCAATAATTATTTATTCTCAACAGACTAAAAGGATTCCAGACATCTAATTATGCAAAAAGAATCAAACCTCTTAAGAGTACTTGGTTTTTATAAATATTAGATTTAAATAAGACCGCATGACAACAAACAAATGACATTGACAATGAATAAGTATTGGACAATTAAGCAAATGATTATTACATAATTAAGGAGATAATCAACCAACTCTCTCTCTTTTGCGCGCGCGCGCGTATTGTTAACTGGCCTTCAATACAGAGTCTGTAAACGTTTCTCTCATCGGCATCAGAGAACTGTTTATAAAATACATAAAAATGTGTATCATTCGTAAAGTAATGGTAACATAGTAGTAAGAGCTATTCGACTTTAAAAATACTAAAAAATGTAAATGAAATTGCATTCAAATGTGTGCTCAAAACATAACCATATGTAAGTTTCAAGGTTAAGTCTTTATAAAGATACGTCTTCTGTGGGAAAAATGTGTTTGATTGCTGAATTGTAGAATCTGTATAATCTAATGTATCTTTAATTGAATTTTAATTTGGAAAATTACATGCGTCAAAATGCCAACAGACACATAATGTTGCTTATGATATTAACTGATTACCCGAACCAATTCTTGTATTCACCCAAGTTATGTTATCTACCGATTCACTCTTTAGTTTCTGGATTGTCATTGAGGTTAAAGAAAATATAAGCAATATACAGATGTTTAGATGGAGAAGAGAGAGAGAGAGAGAGAGAGAGAGAGAGAGAGAGAGTGAGAGAGATCTTTCTGTCCACCATCTCAGCTTTGTGCCAACTGATTTCGAACATGACACGGAACATGGGAAAACATGATTAAAACTTTGATAATGGTCAAGAACATGCTAGATTTCCTCAAACAGATTTTGTGAAGGAACGAAAAATCATATTTAAAAATCTTTTTCTGTGAAAATAACAAGACCTTCCGGTTAAATTAAACGACGGCTTTCATAGACTTTTCATTGACAAATCAGCCACAGAATAGCAAATTCATTTTAAAGATGTCTCAGTTGCCTTTCAGTCACATTTCAGGTTCCTGTCAGTCAAAATTCATCGAACACATTTTCACCAATTTTCAGTGACTTTTCCATCGTCCTTCAGTGACCTTTCTGTCGACTTTCATTTACTTTTCATCCACCTTTCAGTAATTTTTCAGTCTCAATTCTGCAATTTATTCACCGGCTTATTAGTTTATAATCAGATACATTTCCTGTACAATATTTTGAATCAATTTATTTCCCAATCTGAACTCTTTTTTTCTCGTGATAAAGTTCACATACCTTAAACTGGTACTTCCGGTGTGAGGAGGTTAAGTTGTCTTTAAAGTGTTTACTAAATTGTTAAACTGGGATAATAAATTTAACAAAAAATGCGAAAATGATCATTATAATTTTATAATTTAATTTCACTTGTATCAAGCAGTTTCATTGTGTGCCGTTTCACGACTTATATGTATATACGAGGGTTGTCCCAAAATTCCGTAGACAAGCGTTGTTTTGTAGGAACCTTATGTCATACATTAACGAAACTTCGTATATAGATTAAACAAACACTATCTAATGGATTTATCGACAAATATGGAGTAACTACACAAATTATTCCCATTTAAAAGACATATTTCATTGCCTGGTGTAGGAAGGCGGCGCACTACCCAAAAGTTGCCATTAAAATTTAGAATATCATATTTAAAATCCTAAGGAAAAGTAATTACTACCTCATATTTTTTTAATGGAAATGAAAATTCTTAATATTGCTTTATTAACTATATTTCCTCAAATTTTGGTGTTAATGCTTTGATAAATATTAATTTTATAACGTTTTATATACATGGGGTTGAAATCCGAATTTTTGAAAAATGGCGGCTGCGTTGGCCCAGGCGGCGCACTGGACTAGGATCAAGTGTTTTAATCGTGAATTCACTCTTACAGAAATGTACCCGTCATAAATGTTTGGTAAACTAGGAAACTTTTTCTCGTCCTTAATATTTACAATGACCAAAACGGTTTCTCTATGTTTATGTGAATAACAGTAACTAAAACAAAAGACAGTGCAGAGAAATGGGCAAGAGTTCCATTTTGCAAATCCATTAGGGAAAACAGTCGAAAAGCCCGTAGAAATATAGCGTTTTCAAATTATTATTATTTTATACCTGTACATGCATATACTTTGTTTTACATATTTTAATGTTTGATCATATCATAGTAATTAAGATATTTTACATTTATAACCATAACCGTTTCGTTTAATTTAAGAATTTGATTCTAGTAACTAAAATATTTTCTCCAAAAATTTGAACCGTTGACAATTGTACTTTTTGACGTTGGAGATTGCTCCGGGTGTCAGAGAACTATACCACTTCACATGTTATTACTCGAAAAGTTTTCAAGTCAACATGATAAAACTTCGTAATTTATCTGCCAAGAACATGCTTTATCTACCCCGAAAATTTTATAAAGATACGTTAATTTCTTAAAAAGTTATGAGCTCAGTCTACGAAATTTTGGGACAGCCCTCGTATGTTCGTAGACTGTTTTGTGTTATTCCGTTTTTGTCCGTGTGAAATGTTTTAATCTACCGTTTATATCCGGACACTACCTGTGTTACTATTCAGTGTTTCTCGTGCATTCAAGATCGCAACTGGCGCATCGGCCACACCACCGTTTTTCTATCATGTTTGAGACTTTAGAGCCACTATAGAGTAAGTTAATAATGCAAAATCAATTTAATGTATATTCTATTTATATAAATTCAGTTAGGAAATATTTCTTTGTGTAAATTTAATTTTAAACTTGCAAAACTCAGTGTCAATGTCAGTGATGTGTATTCAGTCTTGTTTTGTTCTTTTTGTTTGTAGCCTTTATCGTAAGATCATCTATGTTTCAACTGAATAAAATCTTAAACGATGATTGAGGCGTTATAATAAATGTCTATTCCCTACACCATCATGGCGGAGAAGAACGTGGTAGCGGATGACCCTCACACCACCGAGGACGGCGTCAAAGAAGAAACAGACCCTGAGCCGACAGAGGAAAGAAACACCACACCATCAGAAACAAGTGAGAAACGAGTAAGAACATTGACAGTCAAAGCTAAAGAACTTTACGATGCTGAAGTTAAGAAATCCAACTCAAAAATCGACTTAATATGGACTGATATAGAGAACATTCCTAGTGAAATAGAAAACATTGGTCATAATACACAAGCATTGCGTGTTCTGGGTTCCAGACTTGACTATCTTGGAGATAGATATGAGGAAGAGTGTGTGTCATTTCGTGAATATCTCACCCGAAGAAATACAACAGAAAGCCAGCAGGAGTTGGACTCCCTCATGGCCTCCCTTGACAAAGGAAAAAGTATTATTCAGGAATTACGGAAAAGAATCAGGGATACTCGTATGGAAGCAACAGAAACTGCCTCACGGAGGTCCGCTTCAGTAAGGACGTCGTCATCCCATGTTGATTCAATCCTGTTCAAGAAACGTGTGGAAGCAGAAACGCAACGTGCTAACATTCTATTCCGAGAGAAGGAACTTGCGATCCTCAAAGAAAAAGCATCACTTAAGGAACATGAAGCAAAACAACAAGCTGAGAACTTGAAGCTACTCATCACTTGTTAGAAGAAAAAAGAAAAGCAGCACTCGTAAAAGCAGAAGTGAAAGCAATAGAGAACTTTGAGTCGGACACTAGACAAGGGTTTGTTATACCATCAGATATCGATGTACCGATAAATCGCAAACAGTTTACTGCTCGTTACATCAGCGATCAAAGTGATACAGTGCAGGGAACTAATTTTGTTACATAAACCAGCATCAGGATCAGCATAAGTAGGATCAGGATAGAACTAGCATCAGCATCAGCATTTAAAAATCAGCATTACTGGATCAGCATCAGCAAGCAAAGGATAGAACTAGCATTGACCAAAGTGAAAACAGATAAAGGAAAGTCATTTAATACAAATTACAAATAAAAATTACCCCAAAAAATATTTTTAATGGCTTAAAATAGCGATGCTGTTTTTTAATTATCCACTTCCGGCAGGATAATCCTACTTCTGGTAGCATTACAAGCATTGACCTAGTTTCAAACCAGCATCAGGATAAGGATCAAACCAGGATCAGGATAAGGATAACTAGCATCAAAATCAGCAAGCAAATGAAGCATCAAAATCAGCAAGCATAGGAAGCACCAAAATCAGCATTGATGCTGTAACAAAATTATTTCCCTGCACTGTAATAGTATCTTCGCTAAACAAACTTCAGATTGTGATAATGGTTCCATAGATCCAGTGATTGATCATGACATACCACATCAGAAAGAGACTCAGTCTAACCTGAACCCTATGGCAAAAGAATTTGTTAGTCAACATGTGAAAAATTCTGAAGATCAGAATGTCGTCAGTGATCTTACAAAATTTCTACTCAAGAAGGATCTGTTATTCTCAAGATTTTCGCAGTTCAGTGATAAACCAGAAACATTTGTCACATGGAAAGCCAGTTTCAAGAGTATAACAGAGGAACTGAGAGTTACACCGTTTGAAGAAATGGACTTACTAGTGAAATTCTTAGGACCAGAATCCTCAAAGTTTGCAGCCAGCATCAGAGCAGCAAATACAGCATACCCAGAACGAGGCCTTCATAGGATATGGAAAAGACTCCAAGAAGGTTATGGAAGCCCTGAATTAGTAGAACATTCTTTAAAGAACAAACTCAGAGACTTCCCTAGAATTAGTAACAAAGACAATAAACGTTTGTATGAATTAGTCGACATTCTAGCAGAAATCGAGTCTTTGAAAGAAGATTCAAACTACTCGACATTACTGTCCTACTTTGACCCATCTTCTGGCATTATACCTATTGTGAATAAACTGCCTTTTAACTTACAAGAGAAATGGACAACCCGCGCCGCAAGCTACAAAGCCAGACTAGATGTTCCACATCCACCATTTGATTATTTCGTGGAATTCTTACAAGAAATGAGTAAGATTAGAAACGATCCGGGATTTCAATATGAAGGATCCTTTAGTACCCCTGGACCAATCCAAAACAGGAAAACCAAAAATACTACAGTTCTGTCGTGTAAAACTGAAGTGGAACCAAACAAGTATGTGTCTCCCAGAGGACAAAGGTGCCCTATTCATAACACGCACCACAATGTTAAAGATTGTAAAACATTCCGATCTAAACCATTATCTGAGAGGAGGAAGATCTTGAAAAACTCTGGATTGTGTTTTCGATGTTTGGACTCGAATCACTTAGCTCGTGACTGTAAAACAGTAGTGAAATGTGAGAACTGTGAAAGTGACACTCATAATACTGCGCTCCATGACTACTACAGATCCAAACACTCAGATCAAGGCGGGGAGAAAATCAACCACGATAAGACAGATGTGCAGAATAAGTGTACCGTGATATGTGGAACGAACTTTAAGGGCAAATCGTGCTCTAAAACTATTCTGGTCAACGTTTACCCCACTGATCGTCCATCAGAGAAAAAGACTATCTATGCCATAGTTGATGACCAAAGCAGTCGTACACTCGCTCGTTCACAGTTTTTCAACATGTTTGATATGAACACTGACTCTGTGACTTACACACCATCATCATGCAACGGTTCTGTGACACTCACTGGCAGATGTGCATCAAACTTTACCTATGAACCAGTATTGGAGGGACACCGAATTCATCTACAGTCTGTGATAGAATGTGATGACATACCCAACTGCAGAGAGAAGATTTCCACACCAGATGTGGCACGTGCATACCCTCATCTAGCAGACTTAGCCACTCATATACCTGATCTAAATGAAGAGGCAGACATTTTGTTACTCATTGGAAGAGATCATCCAGATGCTCATCATGTCCTAACACAGATAACTAGACCTCATGGAGCTCCGTTTGCACAAAAACTATCGTTAGGATGGACAGTTATAGGAGAGTGTTGTCTTGATAAGGTACATGTACCTACGAACATTGTGACCAACAAAACGCACATTCTACCATCAGGAAGAAGCTCGACTTTTCCAACTTGTCCTTCTTACATACATGTGTCTAAAGTTGCAGACAACCCATTCTGTAGTGACGAAATAATGACTTCTGATATTTTTGTGAAAACACCCCAGGACAATGAACCAGTCCTGTCAGTGAATGATCGAGAATTCCTAAAAATTAAGGAAATGAATGTTACAGAGATGAGAACGGAAACTGGACTGCTCCGCTTCAATTTAAGACCAGTAGAGAGAAACTTCCGAATAATCGTGAACAAGCCATGAAAAGAACTCTGTCATTTCTAGCTTCTTGTAAAAGGAACAAGTTGAAAATGGAACATGCAATCTCGTTTATGGACAAAGTGTTTTCTAAAGGACATGCAGAAAAGGCACCAGCGCTTAAGGACGGGGAAGAGTGTTGGTTCCTACCGATCTTCGGCGTCTACCACGCAAAGAAGCAAAACCAAATACTTATGGTTTTCGATTCATCTGCAGTATTCCAGGGACACTCCCTGAATTCAGCTCTTTTAAGTGGACCCGACCTTACCAACAGTCTACATGGGATTCTACTAAGATTTAGAAAAGAGAAAGTAGCTGTGACTAGTGATATTGAACAAATGTTTCACTCATTCAAAATTCGAGAGGATCACAGAAACTTTGTACGATTTATTTGGTTCACAGACAATGACCCAGATCTACCTTTAATGGAATATCGTATGTGTGTTCACCTATTTGGAAACTCACCTTCTCCGGCAGTGGCAACGTATTGTTTGAGACAATGTGTTAAGATCAAGGAGTGTGACCCAAGAGTTCGTGAATTCGTTAACAGAAACTTCTATGTAGACGATGGTCTCGCATCTTACCCAACGGAAGATGAAGCATTAGAAATCTTAAAGAAAACACAGACTACACTCAAAGAAGAAGGAAACTTGAGGTTTCATAAGTTTGCATCAAACAGCTCGTATATCATGGATGTACTACCTCCAGGCGACAGGGCTAAAGATTTATCTGACGTGGATTTACACTTAAATGCAGCACCATTACAACGGAGTCTGGGACTCATGTGGAATGTAATGTCTGACGCATTCACCTATCAATTTGTACCCAGGGTCAGGGACCCTCCGCTAACAAAGAGAGGAATTCTTTCATGTCTGAACAGTCTGTACGATCCACTTGGATTTATAGCCCCTGTGATTCTGCAAGGCAGATTCTTATTTCGTGAAGTGATAAACTTACCTGTTGGATGGGATGACATGGTTCCATTGAATATCGCCAATGGACGGAAAACTTTGTGCAACACTTTACACTATCTGTCGAGTTTACAGATTTCTAGAACTATCGTGCCAACTTCCCTGGGAGAAGACACTCGAAAGGAGATACACTTCTCAGATGCTTCAGAGAGAGCCGTTTGTGCAGTGGCTTACTTACGTGTGATACCAAATGACAATGCATCCATGCAGGTCGGATTCTTGATGGGAAAGTCGAAACTTTCACCCCAACATGGTCAAACAATTCCCAGACTTGAGCTGTGTGCAGCAGTGTTGTGTACAGAACTCGCAGCATTTGTGTTAAAACACATAGACACTACTATTCATGAAGTGAAGTTCTATACAGATAGTCGCATAGTCCTTGGATACATCTACAACCAAACCAAACGTTTCAATACTTACGTTGCTAACCGAGTACAGCGTATCCGTCAGCACTCAGCTCCAGATCAGTGGAACTATATTTCCACTGAGGAAAATCCTGCGAATGTCGGGAGTAGAGGAATTCTTGCGAATGAACTACCTCAGAGCATGTGGCTTCAAGGACCCGTTTGTTTACAACACAGTTATCTATCGGAAAAAGAGGATTTTCCACTTATTGACCCAGAAAAAGACAGCGAAATTAGAAACACTAACGTCGTTGTACAGAAAACATGTTTCAACGCCCATGAAGTCTACAACAGGATAGATAGATTTTCCTCATGGACATCCTTAGTCAGAGCAATTACCGTTCTCCGAAAAGCTGTGATGAGGAAACTTGGTTTACCATTGTTGGACCCTGTACACGTGAACAGTGCAACAGAACTGTTCCTAGTGAAACTCTGTCAAAATGAAACATTTTCTGCAGAAATCACAAACTTGGTCAATGACAAACCAGTATCTAAAGATAGCTCGTTACGCTACCTGGATCCTTATCTTCATGATGGAATCATACGACTAGGAGGGAGAATTCGTACTGGAGACGCCCTGTCTGACGAACACGGCCCAATCATTATTCAAGGAAAAACTTACCTAGCTCGTCTTCTCGTTCTACATTGTCATGGAGTTGTGAAGCACCAGGGAAGACATCTAACCGAGGGAGCCGTTCGCTCATCTGGATATTGGGTGATTGGTGGAAAGAGATTAATATCGTCAGTCATACATTCCTGTGTTACTTGTAGAAAACTTCGAGGTAAACTGGAACATCAGAAGATGGGAAATCTTCCGTCACCTCCATTTACCTATGTGGGCGTGGACACATTCAGACCTTGGGAGATTGTTACGCGCAAGACCAGAGGAGGTTCAGCTAATAGCAAACGCTGGGCTATCTTATTCACCTGCCTGACAAGCCGAGTCGTACATATAGAGCTAGTGGAAGATATGTCATCACCTACGTTTATCAACGCCCTCAGACGTTTCATAGCCATAAGAGGAAAAGTTAGAGAATTTCGCTCGGATAGAGGTACAAACTTTGTCGGCAGTACAGACG